AATCAGGATGGACGCAGGAGTGTGTTTGAGACACTTTTATTCGTGAAACCTGCAGTTGTCTTCCTTTGTGCATACCAGTACACTTGTAACCTCAATTTCACTAATGGACCGAGAAAGCTGCATTATTATCCACGGCTATATGAAAATGCAGTTCAGATGATGAAAAAGAAACATATAGCTGGATTCTTAAACAATTTAAATAAAACAAATATTCCGTGCATTCTAGCAATATACATCGCAATCGGTAAAATGAAAAACTAATTATCTGTTTTTAGTTTCAGAGGACATAAACGACACCAAGATGAAAGTGGGGAAAACAAACACAGCCGTGCCTATAATAGTTACATTGGCGATTATCTTCTGGATTCCATTATTAGTATTGGGTTTTTTGTACCGGTAAGCATGCACATACCAAATATCACTCAATGGGTTTCAAGCCACACTATAGTGTTTGGTAGTCTGTGGTTTTGTGCATATCTACCTACATAATCAATGTCACTGTCACTTAGGTAATGCTAATACGGATACATACAACTGCAACGTTAATAACGTCTATTTTGTCTCTATGCTGACTCATTGTTAAGAAAATCAAGAGTAAGTTGAATGTTTGATATAAATCAAAAACTAATTTCTCATACAAGCATGGACCATCACAGCATATTTAGATGTGTCTTGATTCAATAGATGGCTTGAAGATGATAGGTTAACAAAGTCAACATAAACACCGGCCATGCACTAAGCTGACAGGATTGACAGTGACAAGTATTTGATTTAATTTGTAGTTTCCTTTGTTTTCAGTCGACGCACACTATTAAGAAGTAAGTGAACATACCTTGAATAATTATTTCTCTAACGTACACTACTTCCTTGAAGTTCATTACCCTTTCATGTATGGGCAACGCGTGACTCAACCCGTGTGCACCCCGTTGGTCACTAGGAGTGATTTATTTTATTTATGAGGGCCCATATTACTTTGTGATGACGTGCTCCTCTTTTACTTGGCCCCATTGCCGTAACGCTGGTAAGGAACAACATTTAATCAATGAAAGTAGGTTATATCATGGAGGATATAAATCAGGGAGAGGGTTCGAATTGTCGTACCACAGGACGCTTATGTTTGTGTATAATACCCCGTTCACATATCACTGCTTGATAATGTTGTTAAAACCTACACTGAAACGTCGCTCCTAATTGTAATAAAGAAGTTGTTCATCCATAAATTCTTATCCTTACTTAGTACTCCAAATTCTAAATGCCTATCAAAGAAATGTGTGTATATTTGCATAAGTGTAAATATACATACGTGAGTATACTTGTCATGTAAACCCGTTTACTCATATATGTATATTTACACCGGGAACACATTTACATCATGTCTGGAGCAGGTGCAAAAGTAAATATAAATTTGCACCCTATGTATATGCTGTAATGTGAACGTTTATGCCAACGTCAGAGGATGATCTAATTGTTATATCTGTGGATTTGCCAACACCAACACATTGCCAACAGTTCTGTATTCTATTCAGTATACAGCAATACCAACTTTAATGTGGACATCCAGAGCTGAGCGGACGGTATTGTCTTTGGGTTTCCAGGAGACAAAAAAATGTGTGTAGATTAAATTAAACACATGTTGCTCTATGTGAAGATTTATGTAAGGCAACTATCTTCTCATGTGACTTTATTTGGAAAACAACATTTTCATGTTCAATATTCACGTACCTTAGTCCTTTCACGTACCTTATTTACACACCTTAGCTAATTTTTATGTGAACACATAGTAAAGTAACATATACACACGTATGTGCAGTTACACACGTGCAAAATTACCTACGTGAGAAAATGTTGCGCATGTGAACGAGGCATTAGATGGTCATTGCATAAAGTCCGCCAAGAGATAAAATATTAGCTTGGACTTGGTCAATATATCATCTACTCGATGCTTCATACATCATTTAAAAAACGCAACCATGTTTTGGCATTTACAATAATTTTGTTTTAATGTTCATTACTAGTTTACAATCATGAGTTATTTGTCAATAATGTTGAGCTAAAAAGCAACAATTGGAATTTGTGGTGGCATAAAACATGTGAGGTGAGGTGAAATGGGGTATAACATCGGGTCCAACATTATTGCACGTGTGTGTGTGTGGCTGCTTGTACTATCTAGTCCGGACTGATGCCGATTTAAGTGCTGAGATACCATGCCGCACTTACACATGAATACCCCACTCAGACACAGTATGCTGACTCCGAGCCGATCAGTTTTTGTTTTAACCCCTTTATGTCGCGCGCCAGACAGGGTAACAACAAATGCAATATTTTAACGTCTTTTGGTATGACGCGGCCACTAGACCATGGAGGCGGTCGATAAAACACGTTGTAAGTAAGATAGTAAATAATAATACTCAAATCGCATTAAAATACAATGATAACAAGATACATCCATAATCCTATAGCTAACGTTCCACATGCCCAGAATAGCCACGAGAAAAACTGATTAGATAGAGCTTGCAGAATCTTGCCCTTACATACATGTGGTTACAACATGTGAATATTTTTATAGATTTAAATGTTACGATACTCTCCATATCTACACGAATTACACAAAAATGAACCTGAAGTCATGGAGCCCATGGCTAAAGATATCATACAATCGTTATAAATTCATTTTATAAAGTGTCGTAAGAGGCGACTAACGGGATCGGGTTGTCAGGCTCACTGCCGCACTGACGTTGATGCATGCCATCGTACCCTAATTGCGCGGATCTATGCTCACGATGTCAATCACCGGATTGTCTTGTCGAGACTCGATTGTTTACCGTCATATGCATGCAGCTAATTGCGCGGATAATGAATAATGCGTTAAACAACAAACAAACAAACAATTTCGTAGCGGCGATGTCCTAAGCGGACCGAGTCGGCGTGCTCGTCCTAAGCGGAACTGGGATTCCTGTCATTAGCTGCATTTGAGTTTTCAGCCGGTTCGGCAGTAAACTCCATTCATTCATTCATTCATTCTCTCATTCACTCACTCACTCACTCACTCAAAGTCCCTGAAGCTCCTTCGTATAGCGCTAGAGGACTTAAAACAGTCGTTTCTTGTGTTGTCTACAGCCACACCATTGTGAAAGCATCGTTTCTCGTCCGCTCCGTTTCCCGATTATGTTTTAATATTCGTATGTAGATAGTTCCACAAAAACTCCAAGGCCGTAGGTGCGTTTCTGAGTACGTTTGTGCTTGCTTGTTCCTTGGAGGCCGCGGTCTCTGCTAACAGCTATATTGTTTTGACTGTTTTGCTTGAGTAGATATATGTTGTTCGTATATTACTAGCTCTGGCATAAAACAACATTCACTCTCATGTACATCTGGTTTGTGTCGGCAGATGCCTTTTTCTCTTGGAAAAGCCCGTCTCGTGCACACGCAACAAATTATGGTGATTAGTTGGTAGGTCAGGTTTTGTGACTGTACAACATCAGCGTTATGTGCGCCTTTTACATAAACCGAAATATTGAAAACACGTTTTCAATTTGTAGCGAAGGCACCACACTTCATTACTCTATTTTCACCGACAGGTATTTGTGGTTACCCACCATCTCATATATTCATAGTTTTACTTTCGAGGACAAATCGAGCAAGCATCTTCGACGAATATTTCACTTTTGCTCTAAGGTAGTTTGATCAGGGTTACAGCATTCAAGGCCTCAGTAAACCGAGATAGTTGAGACATGTGGAGGATATTCCCAAATGGGACGCATCACTGACAAAACTGATGTCTGATGCCTGATGCCTGATGTCTGATGCAATTCGCTATTTTGACGTACACCGTATGTTCCCTTTTTTTGAGTGAACAATTTTGCATGTGTTTGTGACGTTACCACCGGTGGTGCAGTCTACGCTCACTTTTCGCGAACATCTGGTATCATTACTATTTGATAGTGATTCTCATGCTCATGATGAATCGGTTAAGCTTTTGGCAGAGACCTCTTGTCATGGACTATCACAGCATTAGTATTAGCAGCAGCGGCAGTAGTAGTAGTAGTAGTAGTAGTAGCAGCAGTATGAGAAGGGAAATGGTTTTGTCGCCTTTATAGTTATTCTGTATGTCACTATTGAGGGCTATATATCGATATTAGGATAGTCTGCCAATGCGCAATGTGGGATTTACAGCACACTGCTTACTTTCCAATCATAAACTTTCACCTGTATCGCTTTGCGCTTGCCTTCAATATTAAGCAGACATACCAAATTGAACATAATTGAAATACTTACATAAGTGACGCATTGTTTTATGGTTGATCTTTCTCAGAACTGACATATTCAAGCCAAAGTCATTTAGTGTTAGCCCTATGCCTTTTATTTAGAAAGACGTCAGCTTACATATCGAATGTGAAAGTCATCTTACGTTTTGTCTTTATGTGACTTTGACCTGAACGTACGACAGGTACTAGTATTAATGCACGTCAGAAACATTACGCCATATATTACTTTATCAGTTTCCGAAAGTAACATGCATATATTTATTCGAATTTCCACATACACACATCTACAGGTCAATGCACATTCAGTAGCAGTTAAAGTAAAATGATGCGATGACAGTTCTGAGTGTCCAACTGTACACAAAAATAACAGTGCATTTTGATAGCGTGTAATATGTACCTTTCGCACAACGAAATAAAGTTTAAAAAGAATTACAAGTCGGAAATATCTACAGATAACATATGCTTTATTCACAGGTTTGAAAAGAGAAGTTGATAGTGCAGGTAAGCGAAGAATTAATAGATGGATTGACCACAGTCTTCTTATTTGAAAGTGTAGATGGTATTTAATTGTACCTTTTAACATTGACAAAAGTACAGGCCTTTCAACATGGTCACTCAGAAGTGTGGAGACGGCCAATCTAAATTAGCTTATAGTTTGATGATGTGATGATGATTTCACATCTTAAATCAGATTTATCTTAATATCATACTTTTCTCCTCAGTGAGCTGCGAAGAAACATGGATGAGAACCCAGGATGTCAGAGGTGAGGTGAATAATACAAACGCAGCTTCATGATGACTATTATATTAAGGGCTAAGAAAAAGTTATTTTTTGTTGATGGTTAAACATGTCCATGACGTTTTATGATCATGAGCGAGCATGGGTGTCCCAGTCGTTAAATGCGCCAGTGTTGAGTATCCAGTTGCGTCCCTTATCATCCCTCACAGATTATGATTACATTGCTGTTCTGTGAGTGGTTATAACAAAGTGGTAAGCGTCTAGCATCTGCATGGGCTTTCCTCACACATTGAGTTGACACGCCAGGATGTAACTGAAATATCGTGCGGCGCGGCACGAAACACAACCTACAGAGTCACTGTAAGGTCATGAATTCCTAAATGATGCTTTCTTTTGTAACAGTTAAGTATCACTTCAGCTGTTTAAAACAGATAATAAACAATATATATATACACAAGAATATAACTGCATGTTGTCCATATTTCCCCACAGGGTTACTCAAAAGGCCAGCTGCTGACACTCCACTCCATAAGAGCACTGCTGATGGAGATCTAGACCTCGTGAAACAGATCATGAATGATGGTGAAATACATGTCAACACCCGAGGGTTGAACGGATTGACACCATTGATGTTGGCAGCACAGAACGGGAACTATGGTGTCTTTGAATATCTCCTCAGTGTAGGCGCTGATATGACACAAATTGCTCATGACGGGGACCACATCCTCAGCAAGGCCTGTGTGGGGGGAAATATGGACATTGTAAAGTATGTTGTCTTAAAGGAGCATAGCCTTATTAACAAACAGAGAAAAGACGGACGAACCGCGTTGATGTGGGCAGCATGGCATCGGAAGAAAACCGTGTTTGACTATCTGCTCAAGGAAGGAGCTGACTCGTCGTTAGTGGATGTTGATGGATACAACATGCTTCATTATGCCTGCTTTGGAGGAGACACTGGAATGGTGAATGATGCCATCACCAACACCTCAGTTGATATCAACACTAGTGATATATATGGAAGGACGGCAGTGATGGTGGCGGCTGCATGCGGATATAAGGATATGGTGGACTTACTTTTCAAGAAAGAAAGTGACTTGTCACACATAGATAAAACGGGAAACAATATACTCCATGTGGCATGTCTAGGAGGACATGTGAAGATAGTAGAGCATATCCTCTCGCAGGAAGATACTGACATCAACTGCAGAGGACAGTATGGGGGAACACCACTGATGTTGGCAGCATTTGATGGACACAGGGAGGTATTTGACCTACTTGTGACGAAGGGAGCTGATGCAACACTTGTTTGTAACAAGGGGAACACCATCCTACACGTGGCTTGCATTGGAGGACATGTAGATCTGGTGAAGCCCATTCTGTCACAGGGCATGGTGGACATCAACAGCCAAAGACAAGATGGGAGGACGCCGCTATTGTTGGCAGCATTTTGTGGACATAGAGAGGTATTTGACCTACTCGTGAGAAATGGAGCTAATGCATCAGTAGTTTGTAACAAGGGGAACACCATCCTACACGTGGCTTGCATTGGAGGACATGTGGAGATGGTGGAGCACATCATGTCACAAGGCATTGGGGACGTCAACAGTCAAAATCAAGATGGGAGGACGCCACTATTGTTGGCAGCATTTGGTGGACACAGAGAGGTATTTGACCTACTCGTGAGAAATGGAGCTAATGCATCAGTAGTTTGTAACAAGGGGAACACCATCCTACACGTGGCGTGCATTGGAGGACATGTGGAGATGGTGGAGCACATCATGTCACAAGGCATTGGGGACGTCAACAGTCAAAATCAAGATGGGAGGACGCCACTGATGTCGGCAGAGCTGCAGGGATGTGGTGAAACCCTTCTGAGTCCAGGTGTTGATCTATCACAAATGAATGATAAAGGAAACAACGTCCTTCATCTGGCCTGTGAAACAGGAAGTATGGAGATCGTGCAACATGTTGTGTCACAGAACAGTCTTGACATTAACGCCAAAAACAGTAAAGGCGAAACAGCCACTAGGGTTGCAAAGCGTAAACATCACATGGATTTGTATGAATGGTTGGTGTCACAAGGAGGTCATGTTGTCAGCAAGTCTTACAAACACTAACGATCTCAAGAATAGGTCTTCAGCAACCCATGCTTGTCGGAAGAGATGACAATGCTTGTCGTAAGAGGCGACTATCGAGATCGGGTGGTCAGAGTCGCTGACTTAGTTGATGAATCTCATCTTGTCCTAATTGCGTGAATCGATGCTCATGATATCAATCACTGGATTGTCTGGTTAAGACTCGAATATTTACAGACCGCCGTTATATATCTGGAATATTGCTGAGTGCGGCGTAAAACAAACAGCATGTTATGCAACAGATATACTCTTATCTTGTCTTCTCTAATGAAACTGTTTCCACATAGAGCTCGGGAGAAATGCTTAACATTGATCTGTCAGCTAAGGTGGTAGTACAAACTGAACCATGCAGAAACATGCAGAAATCTGAAAGCTTGTGTCCCTTGTCCTACATGTAATAGCAGGTGATGGGTATTCAGCTGAAGCTGATAAACACCTGAATGTGGCTCGACCGCTACACATTGAATACTAAAGTGTCCTTCAATGTTGAATCCTGCATCCATAGCTTTGAAACACAAAGGAGATTTGTTAATGACAGTTGAGCTGTTGTGACAGTTGTCTGTATGGTAGGATTTGACAAACATTGACCATTTGCCTTCTCTTCAAATATCACTCGTGCGTTAGTGATTCTACAAATATGATTTCTATTTCTCAGGATAACGAATTTGGACTTGCATTTTGTAATGTGATCAGGCTACAAAACTGTACAATAGAATTGTCACCTCAGCCTTTATATATTGTGTTTGGTTGTAATGCGTGCTGTTGTTAAGATAGAAATAATCTTCTTTACAGGGAACCATTATACCCTTCATCCATGAAAGAGATATTCAAGTCACAAATACTCGAATATGAAATGCAGAAAGGCAGCGTGTCTTTGATACCTAAACAAAGATCGGTTTGTTCTGGTTGTGTAATGGGTGTGCTAGCTAGAGAGTGTGTCGTACACAACACTGAGCTGTTGTGTTTATGTTGGCTTGGTTGATTTCGTGTGCAGAAACGCTGTCGGTCGTCTGTCAATTAGACTGGAGGTTCAGAGTTGATTTCCTTTTGTAATTACTGTTGCAGAACTGTCTTACAATGTTTCAAAGCGATCCCATCAGAACTCCCTGCAGCGACAATTCAAACAGAAACTAAATATTTCCTTAAAGTGTGAAAAGTGCATTGCGTATGAAAGGCTGTCACCATAAAAAAGAACAACACACTGAATGATTGATTATTAAGTCATCATCACAACACAGGGTTGAGGGTTAATATCGCTCGTAAGTTACATACGTCATTATCATTCTTTGTATATATCGCTTGTGGATCACGGTGATCACGTCACATACGTAATTGAATCACGTCACACACATCGATCGATGATGTAACACACGCATGGATCACGTCACACACACGCATGGATCACGTAACACACATTGATGGATCGCGTAAGACTCGTATGAACACACACACACATATGTGAACCACGTCACAATCGCATGAATCACGTCACACACACACAATGGTCACGTCACACACATGCATGGAAAACGTCAAACGCATGAAACACATCACACACATGGGTGGATCACGTCGCACACATGAATCACGTCACACACATGGGTGAATCACGTCACACACATGAATCACGTCACACACATCGATCGATGATGTAACACACGCATGGATCACGTCACACACACGCATTGATCACGTAACACACATTGATGGATTGCGTAAGACTCGCATGAATCACGTCACACGCACGCATGAATCACGTCACACACAGGTGGATCACGCCACACTCGCATGAATCACGCCATACACACACTGGTCACGTCACACACATGGGTGAGTCACGTCACACACACACATAAATTACGTCTCACACATCGATCGATCATGTAACACACGCATGGATCACGTCACACATACGCATGCATCACGTCACACACATGAATAGATCACGTCACACACATAGATATATCACGTCACACATTGGTGGCTCACGTCACACAAATATGAATCATGTCTCACACGCATGGATCACGTCACACACAAGCATGGATCACGTCACACACACGCACGGATCAAGTCTCACACGCATAGATCACGTCACACACACGCATGGATCACGTCACATACATAGGTTCATCACGTTACACACTCATGACACACACATATGAATCACGTCCCACACGCATGGATCACGTCACACACTTTGATGGATAACATCACACACGCATGAATAACGTCACACGCATGGGTCACGTCCCACATACGCATGGATCACGTGACACACAAGCATGGATCACGTCACATAAGCATGAATCACGTGACACACGCATGGCTCACGTCACACATACGCATGGATCACGTCACTCATGCATGAATCACGGCACACACATTACTGGATCACATCACACACGCATGGATCACGTCCCATACACGCATGGATCACGTCCCAGGCACGCATGGATCACCTAACACACATGCATGGATCGCATAAGACTCGCATGAATCAAGTCTCACGCATGAATCGCGTCACACGCATGAATCACGTAAAACACATGGGTGAATCACGTCACACACACACACACATGAATCACGTCTCACACATCGATCAATCATGTAACACACGCATGGATCACGTCACACATACGCATGGATCGCGTAAGACTCGCATGAATCACGTCAAACGCATTAATCGCGTCACACGCATGAATAACGTCACACACACACATGAATCACGTCTCACACATCGATGAAGCATGTAACACACGCATGGATACCGTCACACATACGCATTGATCACGTCACATGTAAGCTTTGATCACGTAACACACATGCATGGATCTCGTAAGACTCGCATGCATCACGTCATATACATGAATCGTGTCACACGCATGGATCACGTCACACACATACACACATAATTTTTTCAATTTGAAGTTTACACGATATACGGCTTTTCCATTGGACGAGAGGTCGTTCACATGACCGCGGAATTGACGTTCATAAGTGTATGAACGACACAATTTGACGTTCATACGTTTTTCACGAGATCGTGTTCTTGAAATGACGTAAACACTGACGAACTACTTCCACATTCCTGGAGAAACCCCTGGGAATTCCCTAGCACGAAAACATACATAAGCTTTCTTTCTGGTCATTAAGAACCTATATTCTTTATTCGTACCTAGGCTGACATTGACCGTCTCCAGCAATCTATGAATTTACCTTAGTATCTTTATTCACCTTTCAATGATCGGCCAGTTGATCAATGATGATTAACACATGTAACCGCCATAGGGTCATTAACAACATCGGAAATCTCTCCCGTCACGTTTATCAAGTCGGCCATTTTGACGTCTTGTACTTGATGTAAATGTATTACGTACGACGCGCTGTCATTGTGACTGACTTACTGAGGTAGTTCTTTACAGACCTTTTTCATCTAAGGAGGATATGATTTGAACACATGTGCTGCGTAAGATGTTTCTGAAGAGCAAGCCCATGTCACCTCTCCTTTTGACGAACTTTTTTACTCCGCGATATAGCTGGTTGTTGTATGGCTGTCGGTGTAAACATGAAGTCACACTAACTAAATAAAATTGTGTTTATCCTTTGAGGTAAGAAATTGTGTTAAAAAATTATAACAAGCTCCGACGTTCATACAGTTTGGCCCTCACTCTATGAAGGTTCATACTCCAATGAACTCACACAAAGTGAAGGTCAATTCGTAAATGAATCACGTCTCACACATCGATCAATCATGCAACACACGCATGGATCAATTCACACATACGCATGGATCACGTCACACACAGATCACGTCACACACATAGAATTATCACGTCACAGACATTGGTGGATCATGTTACACACATATGAATCACGTCACACATACGCATGGATCACGTCTCACGCATGGATCACGTCACACATACGCATGGATCACGTCACACATAAGAATGGATCACGTCACACAAGCATGATTGACGTGACACACATTGCTGTATCACATACATAGGTGGATCACGTCAGAAACATGCATGGATCACGTAACACACATACAATTATCACGTCACACACATTGGTGGCACATGTCACACACATATGAATCACGTCACAAACGCATGGCTCACGTCACACAAACGCATGGATCAGGTCACACATGCATGAATCACGGCACACACATTCCTGGATCAAGTCACACACGCATGGGTCACGTCACACACGAATGGATCACGTCACGCATGCATGGATCACGTCACACACGTATGGGTCACGTGACACGCATGGATCACGTCTCACTCGCATGGATCACGTCACACACGCTTGGATCAATTCACACACGAATGGATCACGTCACACACATGGGTGGATCATGTCATACACGCATGGATCACGTCACACACATCGGTGGATAACGCCACACACTTGAGTGGATCACCTAACATACATGAAACACGTTGCACACATTGTTGGATCATGTCAGAAACGCATGGATCACGTCACATACGCATGGATCAATTCACACATGCATGAATCACGTCACACACACGCATGGATCACGTCACACACACACACATGGATCACATCACACACATAGGTTCATCACGTCATACACATCGGTGGCTCATGTCACACACATATGAAGCACGTCACACACGCAAGGATCACGGCACACACACGCCTCGATCACGGCACACACATCGGTGGTTAACGCCACCCACATCGGTGGTTCATGTCACACACATATGAAGCACGTCACACACGCATGGATCACGTCACACACATCGGTGGATAACGCAACACACAACGGTGGTTCATGTCACACACATATGAAGCACGTCACACACGCATGGATCACGGCACCCACACGCATGGATCACGGCACACACATCGGTGGTTAACGCCACACACATCGGTGGCTCATGTCACACACATATGAAGCACGTCACACACGCATGGATCGCGTCACACACACACATGGATCACATCACACACATAGGTTCATCACTTCATACACATCGGTG